CCTCCTCCATCTCCTCCTCCATCTCCTCTTCCCATTCTTCGATATCTAAAATTGGATTAATTATTATTTAAAAATTTGAAAACCTGGATTATTATACAATCTATTAAAAAACTTACGTGGAGGGCTTTGTTGTAAAAAAACCTCCTCCTCCTCTCCATATACGGGTCTACGAAATTTCGTATTGTACAACATTTTCATTTTATTTTTCTTCCTTGTTGATGTGGACTTGGACTGTTTGCTAGTGACTCCTGGGTGACTTTTATATGGTCCATCGCTATCTCTTTGTAACAAATATGTCTCGTTAGGAGAGGGTGGCAAATGTGCAAAATCAGCCTAACGTAATAGTAACATCATATGTGTCACATACAGTCAACCGCATCCTCACATTGATGTATCAGCACGTTACCGTTTCTTTGTCGCTCGTACCAATCCTCTAAGTTGGATGTGGAAAAGAGTTCAGAAATTGGGAGTACAACCTGAGAACTTCAACATTTTCCTTCACTCCGCGTTTGTTTATTCCCCGCAAACAGAGTTCTCTGTCACGCAAAAACTGCACCATCGATATCTTTCTTGATTTTGGCCGTCTCCAATCTTTCTCCATTTTAGCCGTTCAATTTGTTGCACGTGTCCTATATCTGTTGCTGCTTGGATCTCGACTGAACTATGCGCTGATGTAATACTTATGATTTTATATGTTTCAAAACGTGCAAAATATGCATATCTCCATGATCTTCATGATGGTATCTTGTTTCACATTTTTCTGCGCATCTTGCTGTCAATCACAAATCAATGCGGAAGCACTAAAATGCTACATTGTGATGCATAAGAAAGAGAGAGAGAGATCTTACATTCATTAGTAATAAGAATATCATGTGCTACATTCTAGTTCTTGCGCATCTAATTGTTGAATGCATAACACGCAAAAACTTGTCGCGGGGGCACAGTGTACGTGCTCATTAATAATAAAAATATCATGTGTCGCATTTTCTGCGCATCTAATTGTCGAATGCATATGTTTGCAGAATATTAG